ATTTTATTTATTAGAGACTTGTTATGACAACTTAAGTATCAGTTTGTCAAATAGATTAGTGACATTGTTAGGGTTACTACTAAAGTTCCACTCCCCCTTATCTTCGCTATTAAGTGAGATATCGGAATAATTTTGTTCTGTTTGAAAAACTAGATCAAATACTTTTTTATGATGGATTCAATTGTTCTATGACGTCATGGCTTACTTCGGGTTTTTCCGGAAATAACAGAAAATCGATTTTTTTTTTAATTTAAAAGGAAACCCTCTTTTTTATTGTAAATTTTAATTTCTAGGACATTTTTGTATTGACAATTTTATGTCAGCTGTCAAAATGGCCGCCATATTGAATATTATTTTTTCTAAATATGTTACTATTAATTCGTTTATGGAGAAACATATAGGAATGTATAAAATCTTTTAGGCTTCAAAATTCCCATTGAGACCCATTTACCGTATACCAGTGGCGGCATTTTTATTATTAGCAAACCGTTTAATAATTCCATCCGTTTTTATCTTCGTTGTTAATTGAGATATTGGAATGAAAATTTATTTGTTTGAAAGCTTGGCACAAATCCTCCAATATACTGGATTCAGTTGTTCTATGACTTCATGGCTTACTTCTGTTTTATTGGAAATAACAGCAAACCCCATTTTATGTTTAATTTTTAAATAGAAACCCCCGTTTTTATTGAAAATTTAAATTTTAGGGACATTTATGGATACGAATCGTTTGTTGCAAATTTTTTGGCAGCTGTCAAAATTACCATCATATTGGAAAATAGTTTTTTTAATATGTTACTGTCAGAAAATTTTCAATACACGCTTCTTATACAAAAATGTCCCAATTCAAATTTTCAATAAGGAAAAGGGTTTTCATTTAAAAATAAATAAGATATTGCGATTTTCTGTTATTTCTGGAAAAACCGGAAGTAAGCCACAGAATAATTAAATCCATAATAAAAAAATTATCTTTTATTTTTCATTTTCTTTGTTTTCCAATAAATAAACATTCTAAATTTGTTCAAAATTGTGCTCCTCCCTATAAAATTGTGTAACGACGCCCATGGTTGCCGGGCCCCCCTTGTGCCGCTGCCGGGCCCCCCTTGTGCCGCTGCCGGGCCCCTACTTGTGCCCGGGCCCCGGGAATTTGTCCCGGCTACCCCACCCTTCTCGTCGGCCCTGCAAACCAATACTTTGAGCCTCTTTTGCTATTTCTTTCCACTTTCCTACTGTATCTTGCTTTTTCAGTTTGTCAGAGAATGACACAAAAAAAAATATTTATTTCTTCTAATCTTATTTAAAAATTGCATTTTACGTTCTAGATCAATTTATTTTGAAGACATTGTACTGAACTCATACAGTACCACGAATCAGCACATCTACCTAATGATGCTTACTTTAATAACCACTTTCCCAAGCATGTCGTGACGTTTGTTTAGGGAAATAGTAAGAATAATCGTTACATATATTACAATATTACATATTATGTAGTTACATATATACAAAATTATTTAATATCTACAATTGTAATAGGTATGATTCAAACCCTAGGCCTATGAAATACCGTCCCATCATCATAACCATTAGACCGCGTCCAGGTCCTAATACCTATTTTAATTTAGATTCAACTCACACTTTGTGTCTAGACCACCTTTGCGGCATCATCGAGGGTACATCATGTTCAAGACTGTATATTATAATTTTCAGTATAATATTTCAAATTTCTATAACTTAAACATTGATATGAAAGATATTGTTTACTCTGATGTTCAAACATATTTCCATTGATCTCACTCAAACGACTTCTGTCCACTTACAACTAACAAACAAGAAACTGTAAGTATCTCAAGAGTTGGCAAATGCATTTTCTCATCACAAAAGAGAAAATTGAGTTAGAATCTTTCGCCAAACATCAGTTTTTGCAGCATCGCTTCGGCGCTTTCCAGGTTAATAAATACAAACTTAAACTCTCTAGCGGAATGTACAACAATTTTGTTTGTTAACTAGAATGGTTCCCGGAGCTGTGGAATTCCCACGCGGAATATTAATTGTTTATTCTGGAAATTAAATTGCCCGAATTTCGTTCTGGCGATTTCTTTTCCAGTATTGCAGGATTTTATAGCTACAAATGGCAGTAGCTACGTGTTTTAGCTCAACTCTCAACAATTTCTTAAAGGCGCTTGACAGATTAGTTTAAAGAAAATACTGTCTAAATGATAATTAAGACATGTGTTGTAGAATTACAAGAATACGCTAGTGGGAAAAGACATGTATTTTAAAATACGGATAGCCCGAATTAAATTTTGATGAAAACAATACAATGTAGAAAATTAAAACAAGTTTATCAAAAGAAACTCGAAAGAAGTACAGCATGAAATAATATAAAAAAAAAAAGAATAAATAAAGTTTAAATAAACGGTAAATTGGTATATTGAAACTGGAGATTTGTGGAATAAAAGAAGAACGAACTTTAAAGTTACCTACGTCATTTTAAACAGACAATCCGTCAGTGTTCTATGATGTTCCTCTAATTATGATTTCCGGTATTTTGATCTTGAACCATTATCATATTTATGTAATACAAAGATTGGTATTGGAACTATCGTTAATTTCAAGCGAAATTTTTGTACAAAACACTCCCATTTTTAAAACACTCACAATACACTCACAGTATACTCTTAATACACTCCCAATGAATTCAAAATGCACTCCCAATGCACTCAAAATGCACTCAGAATGCACTGCCAATTATTTGACAACTTGAGAATACGACATGTGTAAGCACAAAGTGGGATCGGTCCTCCATTATTTTGAGTGCAATTTGTCAATTTTATAGGTCATCTTTCTAGTATCATTTTTGTAATTAAATTTTATTTTATTAGTGCTTGAACGATTTTTGAGTGTTTTAAAATTATAAAGTGCGTAAAGCCTAGATGTATCTATAATTTGTTCCTGCTCCAGCAGTGCTCGTTTAAATAAAAAATCGACTAGCCAGTTTGTAAAAAATATGTAAAAGTATGCTTCTAAAAATAAAAAAATATTCATCAAATTCTGAGCCTACCTATATTGCAATAATACTTTTTAATACGTAATAATGTTATTAGAGGTTTTTGGTCTATGGATGAGTTTTAAAAAGTTTTATGAGAGTTGTAACTTTGAGGTTAGTGTTTCTTATAATAGAGTGTAAAATTTGTGCAAATGAGAGCGATATTCTGGGTCTTTTTAGAGGAGCTGGTTGTATAGAGTCAATTAATTCAAAAACTGGTTTTTGTGGGTAGGCAGATATCCTGGAAAAATGGGATAATAGTTGGCATTCTCGTCGTATGGAAAGTGGTTGTTTAGAAGATTTAATGTAGATGCTTTCAGATATATTCGTAATACTATGGTTTGGATAGTGTCAAGAGATTTATTCCATTGGGTACTTTCTCAACTCGTGCGTTAGCAACTCGGGCGTAATATAAAACTACCTGAATTCGTCGCAACTCAGGCGCCCTCCAAAATTATGCACGTGTGAGTTCGCAACTCGGGCGTCGACGGGATATGAAATTTGAGACGCACTCGAACTGCGGAAATTTATGGGATAGGTATAAATGTAATAAAAAAGGGATATAATCCCCAACTCGAACTGCGGACACGGTCTATGGGTTAAATCAATACCTACCTGCTAAAATATAATTTAGGAGATATTATTTTAGGGAACAAATTTATTTGGATTTATTCAAGAACACTAAAACCCACATTCAAAAGAATAACTTTAAATATTTTTTATGGCCCTGTATTTACGAGGACCAGTCAAGGTAAAAGATGAAGTTGTCATTTTGAAATATGTTCTTAATTGTTATTAAAAACTCGTACATTCATAAATACGGGGCCATAAAAAAGTACAAATATTTATTCTAAGAAAATTCTTAAATTTTGCAAAATTTTAGTTTAATTCAAGTTCAAGTAGATATTAATAATATTGTCCCTAATCACAATATTCAAATCAAATCAAATTAGCAAATCTTTTCTTTAATTAATGCCACAGTCTATAATTAAAAGATATTAATGATATAATTCCTAAGTATCTAACATTATTCTAAGAAGATTGTAAAGTTAAAATTAAAAATGTTAGGTAAAGTTTTAGTTTAATTCGTGTCTTTATCCAAGACGGTTCGACTATCAGTTCTTGTGATTTATACTATATGTAATAAGTAAAAATGCAGTTTACGCAAATGTTAAGTGAAAGGGGAAAAACTTTAATTATTTATGAAAAATTTAAGTTTCGTAAATTTCGCCAACTTAAAAGTACTGGTGAATGGATGTGGTGTTGCATAAATATAAAATGCGCTGCAAAAGTATATACCATAAGTGAAAATCTGGTCTTTTCAAAACAAAGTGAAGAGCTTCTACAAAGACAAAAAGTGAACAATACGGCAAAGCGAAAAGCTGTAGATGAGTTGTCTGAAAGATCATCTAAATTAATTTATCAGGAATTGGCATAACAAAATGAAACTTTAGGCAATATAACCCCCAAAGACATGCGATACATGCGTAATAATATTAATCATTCCAGATTAAAATTAGTGCCAAAGTTACCTAAATCAATAAGTGAAATTAATACGTTTTTAAATAGTGTGGAAATTACCAGCGCAATTAATGATATTGAGACTAACATTGTAGTGTTCTCTTGTGCATCAAATATTGAATTTATGTGCAAACAAGACGTATTGTTTGTTGACGGTACATTGGACGACTGCACAATTTTTTTTGCAACTTTTTACCATCCATGCATACGAAAATGAAATGTATGTTCCTGTTGCCTTCTGCTTGTTAAGAGACAAAAGTAAAACAATTTACACGAGACTGTGGCAACTTATAAAGAAAAAGATTGACGACATGGGATTTATGCTAAATTCAAAATTTTTTGTAATGGATTTTGAGCAAGCTATTCATTCAAGCGTGTTAGAAGTTTTTCCAGAAGTGCAGATAATTGGTTGTAAATTTCATCTTGCACAATCATGGTGAGTACTACCCTTTTCATGATAAATATTACAATTTCTGACATTACACTTGTTCAGATATGAACATTTAATTTTAGAAAATATTAATAATGCAAATATATAATATGTATATACCGGGTGTTCAAATTAAAGTGTTTTATATTTTTTTTGGGGTAAACATTTTGGCTAAAATCTTTTTTTATAGCTAAGCATAATATAGCCGACTTTTTTTCGCGCAGTAAAATTTTCAAGTAGGTATTATTCAATAAGTAAAAGTCCAATAAAAAAAATGTTCCTTTTAAGAGTATCTTATTTTTTTTATGAACTTTAAGAATATGTAAAAAAATGGGGTTCTAATTTCAAATAAAAAAGTCCACCGCGATACGGCCATATTATGTACAAAAAAAAATTATTTCACCAAAATGTTTCCCCAAAAAACTATAAAACTTCTGTTAAAAACTTTTTTTTATAAAATTCATATTTTCGGTAGTATTTAACTATAACACTTTAGTTTGAACACCCGGTATAACATTTTTCAATAATATTATTTAAAATATTCCCTCCCCCTGGAATAACGATTTTTGTCCCCTCCTAAAATAAGGCTTATGTAAAAGTTTATTTTAAAGTTTTCTTATAAAGAAAGTTTTTTACAACAACTTGGTCTGAGCACAGAATATAAAAACAATAATTCCACTATTGGAAAATGGCTGCACCATATATTTGGTCTGTCCTTCTTATCTTTAGATGAAGTAGAGGCTTCATTTGTTGAAGATTTCATGGCCGAGAAGCCAGATGATGAAATAATAACTCAGTTTTGTAACTATTTAGTGGATACATATATAGATACTAAGTATATGTTTCCACCCAAAATATGGACAGCTAAAACTTCTACAACTACGAATACATGTGAGTCATTTCATTCCAAATTTAGCGCCTATTGTCCCTCTCCACATCCAAATATTAATATTTTTTAAAGTCATTAATTAATATGCAAACCGACACCTACATAAGAATTAACTCTGTGTTAAAATATGAAAAGAGGTTACACAGAAGCGAAGTTTTAAATAAACAAAAATATATTCAATGTAAAATTTTGTAATTTAATAATAATGAAATAAATAGGTATGATTTTGTCAAGTGTGTCTCTTACAAATTCAGTAGTATTGTTTCAATCTAATTTATTGTTTATATATTTCATTATTAAATAAAATTGAATTTCAAATTTTATCGGATCGTTTTTTTTTCCTTACGCTACCATTATTTTGCAGACTAATTTCCGCAGTTCGGGTGTTTTGGATTGTATAGACTAGGTTAAACTATTTTGTGTCCGCAGTTCGGGTGTCGGATTATAGGACCAGATTAACTTTTCCGCAGTTCGGGTGCACCGGAAATTTGACCATAGTTTATGTACCCTGATTCTGATTACAATCTGATTCAGGTAGTAATGAATTATCGAAAATTTAAGAGAAATGAATGACATCGCAGAACTAGCTTTGATTTTAACAGATAGCGAGCATTGAAAAGTTAGTTGATGTAAAAAAATTGAAGATTTTTCCATTACGGTTTATTTTAGAGAAATCATGTGTAGAATAAAAAATATAGAGCATGATATCGGGATCATTTTCAAATTATTCGCGATTTCTAAAATATTTCCAGAAATAATTTGGTCACTAGTGGTATTATAAGTGAAAATAATAAGAAAAATTCGAATTTTGCACTTTACCTCAAATTTCCCGAGTTCGGTCTATTTTAGAGAAATGTATGGAACAAAAATTATAGAGAATTACTTTGTAAGCAACTTTTATTTGAAGAATTTTCTTTAAAATTTGAATTTTGCACTTGTCAAAATTCTCGAATACGGACCATTTTAAGGAAATTATGAATATGATAAAATAATATATAAATATTACGAAACGCCTCAGAAACATTTCTAAAACATTCCTAAAATGTAAAAATATCCTGTAAATGTAATATTTCATATACTTTATAAATAATAATTTGAAACCTATCAGAAATATAACATACTGATATTACAGAAATGTATCCAACAACAGACCCAAACTTCCAATTATTTAGAATATATGGTTGTCTCTAAAATAAAATTATATTACTTAAAATAAAATGACTACAACATAACCCATCTTCTTTCTCTTCTTACAAATGAGAAATTTTTCAAAGCTTGGCAATTTACAACATAACAAACATAAACCAACTTAATATTCTAAGTATAATCAATGAAAATGTTTAAAAATATGATTGCAATAAAGTAGAATAATTAATATTTTTAGGTAAAATATAAACAAAACGTCAAAGTGTTTCGATACAATAACGTTTTTATTACGAGTTTTATGTAATTTAAAGAAACGTTAATATTAAACGTGTATGTATCTTAATATCCAACTTTCGGTTGAACCACATTTACATAATAACATTTAAAAAGAATATTAAAATAAACTAGAATAATTAATATTAAAATAACGTAGATATTTGGTTTACATTATTAACCAAACGTTAAAAAGGTTGAAATACAATAATCTTTTACATATTATATATATTTAACAAAATTATTAACTTTTAGTTACATAACAACGTTTAAATATAATATTAAAATATAGTTAAATAAAAGAGCCACAAAATACAGTAATCTCGACCGACAAATAAATGCCATCGTCGAATACTTAACAAACTGTCATGAAATTATTAAATCCAACTCTGTCTAAGCACGCGGCCTTCACGTCTGGGCAGCCGGTTCATGCTAGAGGCGATGGAATATTCTGGGAATGTCGCTGAGGCTCGAGAAACGGGTAGAACGGACGGAGTGTGCCGTTGAGTCAGAATTGGAATTTTCCTGACCATAGGGATTATTCAGGTTACAGAGTCGGCTTGATATAAATATCGCGTGTGTGAAGACGGCGGTCAGTTGATTATAGACAGTTTTAATATAGAACATTGTATTGGAAAGTTAAAGTGTAAGAAATAAATTAGAATTGTTAGTTAGTATTATATAAATTAAATAGTACGTCTGAAATAAATTGAAAATAGTGTGTTTTTAAATAAATAAACTAAAAATAAATTAGACTTTCGTCACAAAATGGAAAAACTGACTTGCGAAGTACACTCGAAATATTAAGACATGTTGTAAGGTTCGATTATGTTTTTTTGACAAAAATAAATAAAAAAAAAGTTTTCTATATGTAGCCAACTTACTCAGACACGCTGTACATAAAAAATGTATACAAATAAAAATTAAATAGCTAGCCGAGGTAGGTACACTATTATTTATCAATTTAATTATTATATAAAAATTAAATTATACCTTTTTCAATAAAAACGACAATTTCAAATGTCATAACAATGTAATGTAAAGACTATTTTTGCAGAGAAAGATAAATAAAAAATCTTGTTTTATGAAAGTTACATAATATTTAAAAACTGGCAAGCTCCTCTTGTACGGCACTCCGTATATAATTTTAAGTTTAAACCGAAAGCACCTTCTCAGGTTAAACTAAAGAGGTGACATTCATTATATTACTATAATATTAGTACTGATCCTTGAACGCCCGAGTTGCGAAGGGTATTTAATCTTAATCTTAATGTAGCCTTACGCCCGAAATGCGAAAAATTAAGTATTCCGCTCGAGTTGCGACGCCCGAGATGCGAATAAATCCATTGAGACACGTTAATTTTAATAAAAACAAAATATTATATTTTCGAAAAATTCCGAAAAACAACAATTTAGGTATAGGCATAACTGAGAACATTACCAATTTAGTGTTATATGTTCCAAGAATTTTTATTTATGACATTTGCTCGATTAAGAGACTTTCATTTAAATAGTTTTGTAAAAGAAAACAATTTAGTCTGTATAAAAAATGACAAGATTTTAGGTATATCAAGAAAAAAGCAGGTGCTTTGTACTGCTAATGGATTCAATCTTTTAATGTTTAACTTAATTATCAAGGAATTATTAGAATGCCTTTGTTCTGAATTTAAAAAGTCTCTTTTTCAATTACCTTCAGTCACAATAGTAACGTTGTAAACGCAAGTCGTCCGAAAAATAACTTAATTAAAAAAAACCTGCATTTAACATCATTTAACAAGATAAAATGTTGCCATTGAGACGACTAATGCCGTTTTCTCGAAAATTTAATTTCCTCCTAATTTATTTATCTCCGATGGGATTTATCTTGTCTCTAGTTAATTTTCTGGTAAATGTGAAACGTATTTTACTAGTTAGTGGAAATTCCAACCAGCATGATACGTACAGAGTGGTCTACGACCCAATTACAAATGTTTAATAATCCATGAAAGGGATAAATGAGAAAGGAGTTCGAACAAAGTATATTAGCATTCTAGATGACAAAAGGGTTAACGCACACATAAGTGTTGGGGTTATTAAGCTGAAAAATAGTTCGGCGAACAAATCTGACTACTTTCATAATCCTAGGGATAGGGTAAGTTCGGTAAATATGGCCCAGGCGGTCAATATGGACCACCCGAATTATTCCGAAAATTAAAGTTGCTGTGGAACAATGTGAGGCGCTAACTGCTCAGCAGTTGTAGTTCCCGGGTTCCCACTGTTAGTTCGAGTATATCAACTTGAGAGAGCGTATGTGAATGCTGTGCTTAAATTTGTGATTCAAGCGTCTTCCATGTTATTTCCTCGTAAGTTTTGGATAGATTTTTTTTATAAATTAGCTATTAACTTGATTTTATATTTGTAGTATGTTGTTTAGTAATGTATTGGACATTACTTACGAATATTGTTTTATTCAATACATGATTTCACTGTTAGAATAATTTATTTGTAAAATTGTGGCAGGGCAGACAATATGGCCCACTAAAGGATAGGCTATTATGGCATAGGGGGCCATATTATTACCCATCCTTATATTTTAACACAGCACTGCCATTTTCGTTGCAGATAATGGCTCGTCGAAAACCAGAAAACTAGTTATGGAATACGCAGGCAATGGAGCGAGCTATACAAGCTGTCAGAACAAAAGAAATGCGTTTTCTAAAGGCTTCTAAATATTATAATGTGCCAAAAACTACTATACGTCGTCTAACAGCAAAAACAGATGTTGCCCTTAACTAGTTGACTGCTGCCAAATTGGGTAGGAAGCCCACTTTGCCACCTGAAATTGAAATATCATTGGTCGATTATATTTTACAAATGGAATCAAAGTTTTTTGGTTTGACAAGGCGTATATCACCAAAACACTGGAAAAGACTCGCTTCGGTTATTTTTAGGCCGTCATCTACAACTGACTTTTCGACAACCCACAGGAACTTCTTTTAGTATAATGAGAGGATTTAACAGGGACAGTGTGAACAAATTTTATAATTTGCTTGAAACTGAATACGATAAACATACATTTTCTGCAGATAGAGTGTTCAACGTAGATGAAACTGGAATAAGTGTTGTATCGTCGCATTTACCTAAAGTTATAAGTCCTAAGGGAAAAAAACAAGTCGGAGCACTAACATCAGCTGAAAGGGGGTCTCTTATTACTTGCTCATGTGCATGAGTGCCAGTGGAATATTTGTGCCTCCACTGATAATATTTCCGCGTAAAAGGAATAACCCTCTTCTTATGAAGGGAGCACCTCCAGGGGCTATCTATGACTGTCACCCATCTGGATGGATCTAGACTAACATTTTTACGAAATGGTTCAATCACTTTATAAATTTCGTAAAGCCTTCAACAGAATCTCCAGTATTGTTGATTCTAGATGGACACACTAGTCACACTAGAAATATCGACATTATTGATATCGCTAGGGAAAACAACGTGCATTTATTTTCTAGACCCCCACATTCCAGTCACAAAATACAGCCTCTGAATAAAAGTTTTATGGGGTCTCTTAAAAAATATTTGACTGAATAAATACGTTGTTGGATCAGAAATAACACAAGGTCTTTAACACATTTCGATATAATGGAGTTATTTGGACGTGCCTATCTAAAGTGCCAAACCGGAGAGATTGCTGTTAATGGTATTAGAATAACTGGAATCTATCCTCATAATAAAAACATTTTTCAAGATCATTACTTTATTGATGTCACAGGTGAAAATGTGATATCGGAGCTTACTAATGACCGACATGAAACGGTTGAAAAGCAACAAAATCCCGCTTCTTCATCTGCTATTCCAGGAGCAGATTCTGAAATAACGAGAACTTCCACATCTGGCAATAATGATGATTTTAATGATTCCAATACAATTGTGTGCCTAAAGCAACTTCTTCTCGATGCATTGAAATTTCAACACCTCATCAGTCATCCACATCATATATTACGCCATTTACCATCTCTCCCATTCCTAGGATTTCTTCTAAATTGAGAAGTTATCGAGGTAGAAAATCTTCCAAATCCATGTTAATATCTGGATCGCCTTACAAGAAGGAATTAGAAGAGTCGTTAAAACAAATTGAAGAAAAGAAAAAGACAAAAGAAACCGCCACTTTAAAAAAGGTTCTGTTTAAGGGTCAAAGTAAAAAATCCTCAGAACTCAATAAAGGTAAGGCTCTAATGACTAAGAAAAAAGGTAGACCACTAAAAAAAACTAGTTCTGATGAAGAATGTAGTTCCAATGACTACTCCTGCCATAAAAGTTTAGATGAAAGCCCCGACAGGCGAAAAAGGGACGATGCTCAATGTGTATGTTGTGAGGCTCTCTTTTCTAAAGACAACTCAGGTAAAACCTGGATTCAATGTGTTCATTTTGGGCACACGAAGACTGTGCTGGGATTGAGAATTACAATTTTATTTACGAATTTTGTAGCTAAAATTATGATAAATTTGAAATTTCGTCATTGCAGTCGGCTAATATGGACCAGTGCCATAATATCCTACCATGACGAAATTTTAAGATGTAAGGTTTCTGTTTTTTTTTCTTCTCTTTTTAGGAAAGTGTTAATAATTTTTTATATTTTTATATCTGAATAGGTTTCTGAGTTGTAGTAGGCCCAAGATTTAAATTAAAAACGAATCTGACCTATTTTTTTAATTTTCCTTATAGTGTGCCATATTCGCCGAACTTACCCAACGTATGATTATGACAGATCTAAATCTTTCTAGTTCTGAAACTTTATAATTATATTCCACTCCTTCTTCTCAATGATAGGTAGTACCCCCTTTCTTCGCTCTGTGGCCACTTATTTTAAAGTCTAAATACTCTCAAAAGTATTTAGAAAGTTCCAAAATAACAACTGTTCGTGCAATTCCTTCCGAACTCGGTTCTCGTTTTGTCGTACTCAGATACTGTCTTACGTCATTCTTTCTTTTCGTGCGCAAGTGGTTGCACGTAAATAATTTGTTTTTATTATAAGTTATCAATATTAACATATATTTATTATATTTCGAAAAGAAATCCAATTATTGTCACAAAACTTTTTTTGATATGCAAGAATTGTTAGTTTTTGTAACACATTTTTTATGAACAATATTTCTATGACAAAGTGTCATATACATCCAACATGCTTCAATAAATAGTACGACTAACGTGAGAGTTAAAAAGTGTTGTTTAATCTGTAAGTTTATTGAACATAGTGTTATATTTTTTTAGTAAACGTTTATTGTGACCTCACTATACATGGTATAATATACTCCTAAAAAGGTCTCTACAAGCTGATTTTGAAAATATATTCTTTAAAAAACTGCACTATGTCGACATAGTTTAGTTTACCTCCCAGGTACTAATATCGGTAAATAATAAATTTAATTTTCAACCAACTTCAAAAAAAGAGGAGGTTCTCAATTCATCGTAATATATTTTTTTAATGTATGTTTAGCGGTAATTCATTACCACCTTGTCCAATTTTTATGATTCTGCTTTTGTAAGAAAGGGAGTACTTCAGGGGTTGTCCCATATTAATTAAGTCAAAAGCTAATAATTGAGTCCATTATAAAATCGTCAAATTCTTCATTTTTTTTATTATGTTTAGCGATAATTATTTACCACATTGTCTGTGGTAAGGGGATAACTCAGGGATGGTCCCTTATAAATTTGATTAAGATGTGGTGACGGCATCTGCACGATTGTAAAGTCGGTTTTTTAAAATTAGTTTTAATACTTGTCACTCATTGTTATACCCATAACATGAGTTTGGTTTTAAGCTTAGATAAAAGAGACCAGAGATATAACACACCGGTGTTTAACCTGCGTAAATGTTGCCAATTTCTAAAGAAAGGTTAACGGAGTGGGGAAACTGGGCAGGGACCCGAACTCTGTGACAGGGACTATTAGCATCATAATGAACTATTCGATTTATTTAAAATATACGTTTAATGGAATTTTGTATTATGAAGTAAATTTAACGTGATTTTTTAATATCAAACAGATGCCACGATATTTTATGTAAAGAGAAGACCTTTTATAGAATATTTCATTAGCTATTATTTACTACGGACTTTTCTGTAAGAGAATACAGTAAAATGTTTAAATAAAATATTGTTAATCGAGTAAGAAATGGTACTCATTGTCTTAAAAAAAAAGCATGTGCGCAGGCGAATATCACGACTATCACATATTAAAAATTAGTCAAAATGAGAAAATGCTGTTTTGTATTATGATCTCAGAAAAAGATATATTAAAGCTTGTTTCTTTAGGAATATTAATTAATATACCGGGTGTTCAAATTAAAGTGTTTAATATACCGGGTGTTCAAATTAAAGTGTTACAGTTAAATACCGCCGAAAATATGCATTTAAGAAAAAAAGTTTCAGACAAAAGTTTTATAGTTTTTTGGGGGAAACATTTTGGCTAAATTAATTTTTTTATAGCTGACCATAATATGGCCATATCGAGGTGGACTTTGTTTTTTTAAATGGAAATCCCATTTTTTTCTTACATATTCTTAAAGTACATAAAAAAATAAACTTTTGAGGGAAATATTTTTTTTATTGGACTTTTACTTTTTGAGTAATAGCTACTTGAAAATGTTGCTGCCCGAAAAAAAGTTGGCCATATCATGGTTAGCTATAAAAAACGATTTTAGCCAGAAGTTTTTCCCCTCAAAACTATAAAATTTTCGTCTGAAACTTGTTTTTTTATAAAAGCGGTATATAGCTGTAACGCTTTAATTTGAACACCCGGTAGAGGATGAGTCACATAAAACTCTAGAAATGCATATGTCTGAAACCAGATAACATTTTAAAATTTAAATGTATTAAAAGTCATTTGGTCGCTAGGAGTGGGTGATTATCGAAATAAATTATTGATCATTAATAATAATCGATTATTTTCGATCAATAGATTATTTTCCAATCTACTACTTGATTATCTTTAAAAACTCAAAAATAATAGATTAATTAAAAAGCCAATTAACCGATAAATCAGTGTTTACAAAAAATAATAAACGAATTATCGTTTATTTTAAATAATCGATTATTTTGAAATAATCATTTTTTTTCCTATTTCCATTGAAACAGATTATTCGATAATCTTTGAAAAATCTAAAACAATAGATTAATCAAAAATAATCGATTAATTAAAAAATCGAATAATCGATAAATCGATTTTTCAAAAAAAAAATTATTTCGTTTAAAATCAATTATTTGATCATTTTTGAGACATCAAAAATAATCGATTAAGGGAAAATAACCAATTCATAAGAAGCTGATTCTAAAATAAATCGATTTTCCAAAAAAATAACTTAATTATCGATTATTTTCAAATAATCCCTTTGTTTTCATATTTCATTTAAAATTGATTATTAGATTATCTTTGAAAAATCGAAAATAATCGATTAATAAGAAGCTGATTGACCGATAAATCGATAATTCTAAAAAATAACCGAAATATCTATTATATAAAATGACCGATTATATTCGATCAATCGATTATTTTCATATATCTTTTAAAACAAATTATTCGAATACCTTTGAAAAATTGAAAATAATCGATTAATCGAAAATATTCGGGTAATCGAAAATAACCGATTAAGCGAAAATAACCAATTAATTAAGAAGCCGATTCTACGATAAACCGATTTTCCAAAAAAAAAAATAACTGAATTATTGATTATTTACAAATAATCCTTTTCTTTTTTCTTATTCCTTTTAAAATTGATTAATTAATTTTCTTTGAAAAATCGAAAATAATCGATTAATAAAAAGCTGATAAATCGATAATTCTAAAAAATAACCGAAATATCGATTATATAATATAACTGATTATATTCTTTCAATCCTTTATTTTTATATGATCTATTTTTTTTATTTTAAAACAAATTATTCGAATACGTTTGAAAAATCGAAAATAATCGATTAATCGAAAATAATCGATTAATCAAAAATAATCGATTAATTTAAAAAGTCGATTAAACAATAAATCTATTTTTTTACAAAAATCGATTATTTTCAATAAATCGAATATTTTAAATAAATCTACACAATTTTTGTAATTCCTTTATAATCGATTATTCCATTGCCTAAAAAAACGAAAACAATTTATTGAAAATGTTCGATTAATCAAAAATATCGATTAATTATAACGGATAAATCGATTTTCATGAAAACGATAAATCGATTATTTTTGTAACCCCTATCGGACGCATGCTTTTATCCTAGCATTTAGCTCCAAAATTTGGAGATTCGGATTTATTGATCCTGTTATCTTTGAAACCGCATTCGACTGTATAATAAATATTGCTAGAATTTGGATTTTTTTATAAAACGAAGATTTTTTTTTCGAGTTGTTTAGGGGTTTATAATGTAACATTTTACTAATAATATGACTAATTTCCGTAACTTTAGTATTTTTTTGCGCGTTTTACTTTGTTTTAAGACTTAAGATTCAAATGTCACTTCCGATTTAACCGCAAATAAAATAAACCTTGAAATTTTAAGTAGGTGAACCTGTATTTCATCTAATATTCTTGTAAAAATACCTAATAAAGGGCTAAAAACCACCTTTAGTAAATATTCTTATAAAACTACTTTTTAAAAACAAAATTTCGTTAGTAACAATGCCTATTTACTTCTTATTTAGATTAAATGTTTAAAATTTTACTCTTTTGTAAATTAATGCAATATGAAATCTATTTTCTGAAATATTATGTATTTGATGCTTAATATTTATTGAAACCCCTTAATGCGGATCTGAAATATTGAGCCCAAAGAATCATGACGACTTTATGTCAAAACGTCAACAAATATTTACCGCTGAAAACGAATATATTTCTTATTTTTCATAACATTGAGACTGATATTATTTGTACATACAATTTTTCACCATACATCGTGGCATTTTCAACTTGAAATTGAATAGCTAAAACACTTTAAATTGCTAATAACACCATCAAATAATTCAAAACGGCGGGCGTTCCATAAATGATTTACTCACGCGGAGACAAGCATAGAATAGAAATTTCGGAGCAATTCGGGTGGCGTCGTGAACACAATGAATTTTAATTGGTGTGTTACTTAGAGCTGGAATAAACAACGTGCGCGATGTGCAATGTTACATCTCCGGTCTCTTTTATCTAAGGTTTTAATTAAGTAAAGATTGTAATTCTACTAAGGAAGTAAGAATTTTTTTTCGAATTTATCTTCATGTTTAAATTTTTTTTCTAAATATATCAAACGCACATAAGTTTTTATTAAACTTGTAGGAAACAGAATTCCTAGTAATGCCCCAACTAGGTGGAATTTTACATCGCGTGCGGATTTTACTATTTATAACGATAAAGACAA